CCCATCTCCTCTCTTACACACACACACTCACACACACACACACACACACACACACCTGCCCCTTCTCTTTACTAGTTGCTTTATATTTACTCTTTTCTCACCCCTTTCCTTTACCTCTAGAGTGAATTGGGGGCACAGGGCCCTAACTCTAGCCCCCCACCAGCATCTATATTCTTTTGGTTTCTCTAACTCTCCTCTCCTTTGCATCCATAGGGTGTTTGTCTAATCCAGGAGCAGAGTAGCGTAAGTGAATCTTATTTCCTTAAAATTCTTTAAAAATCCCTTGTTTTTCTAGAGCTCTGGCAATAATGGACTGTTGGACTATCCTCAGTGGCTGGGGCCTTTCTTCCTGGGGTGGGAGGGTGGGATATCCTTCTGCTTGGTAAGAAAAAAGAATTGTGGGTCACCACAATGACTATATCAAAATATTACCCTGTCTCAAAATTAAGAGAATATGACTTAACAGGTAACTCTGGTCTGCTGTGTCCCACTGATATTCAGACTGCCCTGAAATGAGTTGTTCAAACAGTTTTTGAAATAGGATATGCTACTATTATTTTCACACCCAATGAGACAGCAGGCCCAAAGAAGGTGAGATGCTGGACAAGGTAGTTTACCTCTCTAGGCTTCCATGTCTCCCTCTGATTAGGGGCATGGACCCAATGTCTCCTATTCTTTGCAGCTGGAATTTTCTGGAGGTTTTGAAAGCCTTGGGTAGATATTACTCTATGTGTAGCATTTGGTGAACTGACCAAGATAAGCCCTAGTTTTTTGTCATCAGGTTAGTAAACCTTCAGTTACCAAGACCCCCCAATACCCTCTCCTTTTTTATTTTCAACCAGATAAGAACTTCTTTCTGGAATATTCTATTTCCTACACACTAGGATATGACATTATCTATAGCTGCCTGAAGACTCAGGTGGGCATTTGTTCTTCCTGGAGCAATATTCCCGGGGCAGCTCAGTAAGGTTGAAGGAATACCTTGCTCTAGAACCCAGCTTGGTCAACAGGAATGGAAAACTTGCTACATCCACTCTGACTTAGAACTGACTTATCTGTCCCAGGACAAGGGTCCACAGTTATGGCTGGATTGTTAAGGTATGTCAGTGTTTCTTCTCCAGCCAAATGCCAGATCCCCTGATTGATCTTCTATCCTAAACCCCTTTGACCTGACACCATCATAAGGGCCCCTCAATCTTGACCAGTTTTCTCCTTCTTGCTGGATACGTATATGCAGCGAAGGAGCAGCACACAGTGGGTCTCACTGGGATGGCTGGACAGGATGACCTTGACCTAACCTCCACTCCCTCCCCCCCTCCCCCCCCATCCCGTACACACATCCCAATGCATGGACACTGGTCCTGGGACTTTGAATAGACTGTGTATTCTTCATCCCTTCAACTTTACAACTCACCATCTGAGCCTAAAATTCCAGTCCAGTAACATCTAGACTCCTGCCTCCTCTGAGACCGGGAATCTATTTACAAAGACTGCCTTTAGTTTGGAGTCTGTTCTTCCAGTGAGAAGGCAGGGATGCTAAAAGGTGGTGTCCTTCTTGGGAACTTAGGCAAGAGTTTTAGCCAGTGGCTTCCCATGGGATCCTGATACAAAGCAGCCAGCAAGGAGCCAACTTCCAGAGATGCAAGAAAAGGAGAATGTGAAGGCTGAACAACCTTGGGGAGCCTGCCAGGGAGAAGCAGGAAGTCACAGTTCAGGGCCGTTGCTTCAGCCCTCCAGCACAGCACACAGGCTGCTTTTGCTTTTCATATACCCCTGTGGTACCTACATGCCCCAAGAATACAGACTAAAGGGGCCTGTTGGATCCCTAAGGCAGGCTTCCTTACCCAGAAAAACCTTCCAAAGAAGGGAATTCCCTTGGTACTTGTCAAAAGCTCAGAACTTTTAATCAATTATTTTTTGTGAGCTGCTCAGGACAGACACCAGTATAAAAAGCTTTTTCTTGGCTGGCAACATGTATTGACTACAGAATAAGTCTTCCAAGAACCAGGGGTAAAAATAGGTTGTCTGTCTCCTTTAGTGACTATCGTAAGATGCCAGAAGAGCAAAGAGGGGCTGCGAAGGTATATTTTTTTTTTCTATTTTGGGAAAGGTATATCCTTTCTTGGTGGTCTATAGATAATAAAAGAACTCAAAGCCAAAAGGACATCCCAGACAATGCCTTCTCAAACTCTCCCAAAGGGCACAGTGTTTGGGGATGTCCCTGAGGTGTCTTTATGCAGCTAAGCAAAGGCCAAATTCACCAGGTCACTCCCACAGTTTCAACCAGGAAAGCTCTGTTTTAATCTGGTTCTGTATTTGAGCTGTGTTACCATGGTTTCGTGATAAAGATATATTTGTTTCGAAGCTCATGAGCTGCTCCAATGCTTTATTTCAGAAGGGGGAAAAAATGAGAGAGATGATGAGTGAGGGATGTAGCCCCGAGCTCTCCTCACTCAAGTTTGACTCTCTTCTGTTGTTTGATTCCCCCACTTTGACTGTTTTATTTCAGTGAGGACATCTCACATCTAGAAGTTCTGTTCTTATCCACATCTGCCCAATCACCCCTCATTCCTCATAGTATCTCTGTCTGGTTTTTGTTGTTGTGCTGTGGAGCCATACCTGATGGTGCTCCAAAGAGCGAGGGCCACTCCTAGGGGTACTTGGGGGAAGGGGCTCAAATGCATACATGAAGATATGTGCTCTACTACTTGAGGCACACCCTCAACTCCTCTGTTCAAGTCACGGTCACGGTCATGGTCCTCCCGTTGTTCATCGATTTGCTCGAGCGGGCCCAGTAACATCTCCTTCGTGAGACTTGTTGTTACTGTGTTTGGCATATCAAATACGTCACGTGTAGCTTGCCAGGCTCTGCCGTGCTGGTGAGATACTCTCGGTAGCTTGCCGGGCTCTCAGAGAGGGGCGGAGGAATCGAACTCGGGTCAGCCATGTTGGCTGCGTGCAAGGCAAATGCCCTACCGCTGTGCTATCGCTCCAGCCCTCTGTTCAAGTATTTCTTGTAAAATAATTTCTTATCTTTTGATTTTCTTGTGAATACCTGGGGATTTCAGACTCTAAAATCCCTTCAGCTCTAAAGCTACCATATTTTTTCTCTGTAGTGACCACCTTTGTTTTTTGGTTGTTGTTATGATTTGTTCTCTTCATTTAATCTCAGCTAATCCTGAGAGCCTAATTTAGGAATATGTCTTCAGAGAGGATTGATGATTGCTTCTGCTCAAGTGTGGGGACACTTCTAGCATTTTTCCCTCACAGGGATCAATGCTAACCCCTTCCAAGTTGGTTGTGAATGTCTCAGGTTTTCCATTTCACTGTCCCCTATCCAGAAACTGGAGCGATAGTACAGTGGGTAGAGCATTTGCCTTGCACACGGTCAACCCGGGTTTGATCCCCAGCATCCCATATGGTCCCATGAGCACCACCAGGAGTAATTTCTGTGTAGAGTCAGGATTAACCCATATGCATCGCTGGGTTTTGGGTGTGACCCAAAAAGCAAAAAAAATTAAAATAAAATAAAATATAATAAAGGTAGCCCCGCCTTTAATATTTGCTTACCATAAATTCACTATTTCCACTGCTGGTTTCAGTTCATGGTTCTTTGGTTTGCTGAGTGTGTGTGTGTGTGTGTGTGTGTGTCTGTCTGTCTGTCTGTCTGTATTTCTGTCTGTGTGTGTGTATGTATGTAGCAGGGAATGAGTGGTGGGTGGAGTCCTTACATTTTCCAGTTTCCACAATGCACTAAAAGGTATGTTTTTTCCCAGATCTAGTTGTTGTTTAGTGGGTCGGTGCTTATGAACATATATTCTGTCATAAGGCTGGAGAGAGAAGACCTCATTTAGTTTAAAGAATCCTGTTTATAGATCCCTTGTGCTCCTTCTTTTCATCGGGATATCTTCACGTTTAAAGACCTGTCATCTTGCTCCTCTAGAGACCCACAGGCCATGATTCCTAAAGAAAAAGAGAAATGAGAAGCACAAGCTAAGCTTTGTCTTCCCAGAGAGCATTTCTAGATTTTTCTCCTGCAAAAGAAGGCTGGGTTCTGGCTCTCTGATCCTCTCTGGGCATTTTTCTTTTATCCCTTTCACGTGTAGATTAAAGCCCATTTTTGTGGCCGTTTTAAAACTTTATCTTTGAACAGTGCTTTCTAGATTGTGAAATACTTATATTTCCTTTGACTTTCTTGACCCTTTCAGCACCTCTCTGAGCTGGCAGCCCTCGCCCCATTTCAGAAGAAGACACTGAAGGTTCAGAGTCCAGCTGGTTTGTTTCAGGACACAGGGTCTATTCATCAGTAAACCAGGACCCACACACAGACGTCCCGACTCCAAAACCATTGCTTTCTCCCACTCGACCTGCTTTTCATGGGCGAGAAAGTAAACCGCAATCAGTCACCCATTCATCCGTTCATTGAATTATTGCTCATCTTTCATAGCCAGGCCCTGTTCCAGGCATGAGGGGATCATTGACAACCAAGTACAGTGTCGATGGTGGCAGATAGTAAATAAACATGCAACAGTATAATGCCAGAGAGTGACAACTGCTGTGACCAAAAATAAATCAGCATGTGGGATAGATACAGAGGAGCTGGAGGTGGGCGGGGTGGGGCTGGGGATGAACTGCAGGAGGAAGCGGAGGAAAGAACTGGGAAGAGATTGCCCACAGGAGATGGGGAAGCAGGTTTAAGGCGGGGGGGGGGGGGGGGGGGGTGGAGGGGAGGGAGGGAGCGGTGTGGAGGGGGACAGAACACTTGGACTCTGTGAGCACTGTCCCAAAGGCAGAGTGGTGGTAGCTGATAGGAAAGAGTGGGCTGGGTAGCAGGAAAGAGTGGGCTGGGTAGCATGTTAGGGAAGGTTGAAGCAAAAGTTTAAGGCAGGAGGGAGAGTCTGATCCTTGCACAAACCTTTGCTTCCCTTTTGAACAAGAACCCTCGCACGCATGACTCTGGCTTTTAACAATTCTCCCGTGTTTGCTCTTGTCTCCCACAGGCCTACCGGTTTTCCCAGCTTCCTGAAATGGTCATGGGTTCTCCGCCTCCACCGGTACCTCCTCGGACTGGCCCTGTGGCTGTCACGTCTCTTAGGCGGTAACGCATTCCTTTCTTGGCCAGGCTTCAAATGTTCAGATTTGGTCCCAGAGCCTGACAGTCTCCATGCATTCCACAACCCCCGCCACTCCCCTTCTTCTAGGTGTCTTTCTTGTATAGACAACCTGAGCATCTGAGAACCATGAAAAAAGTGGGACCACAGAGAGTTGGCCACTGTCCATGCCATTTAATGAGAAAAATGACAGACTCAAAGAAACTAGACTCAAAGAAACCCAAGATTAACTGCCCCAAACTCTGAAAACTCTGCACCCAGATCCTGAACAGCTCGAAATGATTCCCAGAGCTGGAGATTGTAGCTTAGTGGTAGAGCACTTGGTTTGCAAGTGTGAGGTCCCAGGTTTAATCCCTGGTACCCATCCCTCTGACTCCTCCTTCCCCTCCCCAATACACACAAAATAAAAATGACTTCAGCTTGAGCCACTATACCAGCTACCTCTGGCCACTTTAACATACCCCACAGTTACTTTGTGTTTTAGAAGGGGTTCTGAGAGGCCATGGAGCAGTTAGGGCACCCACCCTATCTCATAACTTCCAGGATGGGGAGGTTGAAGGAGCAGGAACCCAGCTGTGTCAGCCCCGAAGCTTTTGGTCTGGGAGCTCTTTGCTCTGTGGTGATATAAAAAGCACGTGTTTGAAGTAAAGACAGTCAGAAGAACAAAAGCCAGGGACCCTGGGACAGAGAGGAATCAAATCACAGAACCAGTTGCACCCTGGCCCTCCTGCCCTCGCCTTCACTGCATACACCCTGAACCCCCTGTACCACAGGCTTGAGCCTGTGGAAAGTGGTGAAGGGACATGCCCTTGTTTGCAGCAGTAGAATGCAGAGCTCTGTGTACACCTCACTGCTTCACCTCAGGATCCTCAGGGGTGTGTGGGAGCAGTTTCTGAGGATCCAGTTCTGCCTGTGTCTGCCGTAGCACCCAGGCACGAGGCCGCAGCTTCTGGCCTGCTTCCTGATGCCCAAGGGACTAGGATTCCTCCACAGGAGCCTTGTGTGTGGACCAGTGGTCAGGAAGGGTTTTCTGAAGGAGCATCTGCCTGGGACAGTGTGAAACTCTATGTTCAGGGAGTGAGCTGGTGGGAGAGTGGAGGGATGGAGAGAGGGGGAGAAGCCACAGAGCGTTCAGCATGGCCTGTCCGGGTAGTCAGATCATCCCAGCTTCGTCCGGAACCACAGGACAGCGGGCTTGGGGCTTACCGTGCAACAGCAGACCTGGGTTGGACACTGGTCCCCAGAACCCTGGCAGGAGTGATCCCTGAGCTCAGAGGCAGTAGCAAGCCTTAAGCACTGCAAGGTGTGCTCCGCCTAATTCCCCGCCCCCCAAAAGAAAACCCCAAATCATCCCAGCTCTAGGCCATGCTATGAGGAACTATGCAGAGATGCTCAGTTACTCCAGGGGTCTGTGGATGGGAGGAGCTTCGCCTCTGTCCTTAGTGGTAGGGTTGCTAAAAAGCAACGTTTAGCGTTTATTTATTCTCTGACACCAGCCTCCTCCCCCACAAGTCCCTCTCTGCTAACCGTTCTAGACAATTATCAGGAGGTCACTGTGTGCCATCTAAGCCCGGGTAACCCAGTGGAGAGGTAGCTGGACCCCAGACCTCTGCCTTCCCCCTTGCCTGCGAGAGCCAGCCGCCCCTCTGATCTAGGGGCGCACAGGGTAGAGGTAGGAGCTGAGCTGAGCTGGCAGCCTGCCACCCGCAGTGGCTGCCTTGGCTTCCCTCCCGTTTTCGTTTTCGTGTCGGGGACAGCCTGGAGCCCGTCCGTAGCGGCGAGGACAAAGCCCGTGCACGGCTCGGGACCCTTCCTACCGGGCGGGGAGGGGCTGGAGCTGAGAGCTCCAACTGCGCCAGGGTCTTCCTCGGCTTTCAGAGCGCTAAGTGGGACTGTGTGTGTTAAATGGGTCGGATTTGTGGCTTGTCTGTGGGTCGCCCTTTCCCCCCCATTCCCACCCCACCCACTTGAAAAAAGTTCTTTTGTTCACAGTGCGCAAGAAGCGCCCGCTTTCCCGGCTCTCGCCCCGGCCCCAGGCGTGGGGGGCGCGGTGCTCGTAGCCCGGGCGGGTCCTGCAGGTCCTGGCGTGGGGCGGGGGTGGGGGGGGGTGAGGGGGGGGGGGGAGGAGAGGCAGCCGCGCGGGGCCTTCTCATTGGCTGCCGATGGCGTCATCCTCCCTAGGGCCACCCGCCGCAGCCAATCCCCCCGCGCTAATTGCTGGGCTTATTTTTATATGGAAATTAAGTGTCCTACTCCCGGGAGAAGCTTGCCACCCTCGCGGGGGCTGGAATGGCCTTGAGTATCTAAAAATAGCTCCAGCGCAGGTTGGCAGCCGGGAGCCCGGTGCGTCGTGCCCCTTTGTTATCAGGGCAGGGCGGGAGTGGGTGGTCTCCGCCGGCCCGAGGACCCCACCTCTGCTGCTCCTGGGGCGGCCCCTTAGGGGGATGCTCCAACCTCTCCCCCGGGTGGAGGTCGGGGTGCGGGGGAAGCGGCTAATGCAACCCCTCTCCATGCTGCAGGTCCACCTCGGACGTGGGCAGCAAAACCAGGATGACCGATTCGACGGGGCCTGAGGCAGCCCCCCTGCACGACAGTGGCTCCTTCGCCCAGGTGTCCCGAGGCCAAGTGTCCGTGGCACAGTTGGATCAGTCGGCCTTAAATTACTCAGGTGGGCAAGAGGAGCAGCGCCTGGGAAGGGAGTCAGCTGCCCTCGACCCCACTGGGCCCTGTTCTCTTTGCTTCCACCCCCACCTCCAAATGGGCACCCTCCTCTCCCAGGCCACTCCCGACCATCAAGGCAAACTCTGTAGTCTTCTCATCTAGTGCTGTTCTTCCAGAAAACGGAGCTGAACTGTGACAAACATTAAGATATGTTATGGTATATATATTTACACATCTAAGGCTATATATGTATGTATATGTGTGTGCACATACACACACATACAGACGCGCACGCGTGCGCGCACACACACACACACACACACATACACATACCATACCAGACTTCAGAGTTTTTGTTTTTTGATCATCTAGTTGCAATATTAAAGCTTAAACTAACCCTTTCTCTCATCTTCTCCCTAGATGTATTCCCAGCTCTCAGCCTGCGGGTTTTAATATTTTGCTACACGTGCATGCGAATATTTGATGTTCTTTCAACTTAGCTAAGTGACATCAAGCCAAACATGTCCTTTTGTGTATTTTCTTGATTCATGTTGTTCTGGAGAATTGTGTTGTTCTCGCAGTTTCTCCAGGTGGCTTCTGACTTACAACTCCAGTTTCTTCATTGAAACTGCCTTCAGTATTTAGTTATAGACTCGGCTACTTTGGCCTATTGGTGACATACTGGTTGTCTCCAGATTGGTATTTTTTTTTCTGTTACAAACAATGCTAAAACAAAGGTGGAGGTTTGCCCATGCTCTAATTGCTTCTTCAGTTTTTTGAAACCGTACCTTTTCATTGAAAGCTGCAAAGGTCCATTTGTCAACTCTTGTAACAGTCTTTTTGGTATATATAGAGATTCCACCAGTGGAATCCATCCCTTCATGTTCTTATCTTGACCCTAAAAAGTACTGTCCTTGAAAAACAAAAATACTGTCCTTGGACCAGAGAAATGCCTCACAAGGTTGGGTGCTCACTTTGCATGTGGGTCCCTGGCACGACTGCTAGCAGCGACCCCTGACAGAGCCAGGAGTTGCCCCTGAGCTCCTTCTGGTAGGGTCCACAAGCCAAAAACATGAAAATGAAAGTAGCCTCCTGGGAGTGTCACCACTGGGAGAAGCTGGGGCTCTGGGAAGGGAGGGGGCCTCTCTTGCTGGAATCCCAGCAGATGCCGCCTCCTATCCTGACAGAGGGGCAGCCTGGGGCTGCAGGTTGAGGTCTGTGCCCCCTCTCCCCAACCGCCAGAGTTCACCCGCCCACCTCACCCCCATTTCCCAGCATCTCCCACCTTGCACAGACATCAGCTCCTCAGCTCAGTGGGCAGGGGGCTGGCCTAACCTCCCTGTCCTTCTCTTCCCTGTCAGGTAATACAGTGCCGGCTGTGTTTGCCATCCCAGCTGCCAACCGCCCCGGCTTTACTGGCTACTTCATTCCGACGCCTCCCTCCTCCTACAGGAACCAGGCCTGGATGTCCTATGCAGGGGAGAATGAGCTCCCGAGCCAGTGGGCCGATTCGGTGAGGTGCCCTTCTTCACAGCACGTTCTGCCCCCCCTTCAGGGAGAAAATGGAGAAGAGGTTGACAAAGGGTGTGGGTGTTTGGGGTTCTCTGTCACCTCCCACCAACCAACTGGCTAAAACCAGTGTGCTACAGGGCGGGGGGGAGGGGGGGGAGAGTCCTCTGACAGAGGAGCTGGACGTCTGCCTTCTAGACCATGTTCCACTTCTTTCTAAGCCAGGCGACCTCAGTCAAGTACATTTTTTGGTAACAACCACCATATTTTGAGTAGTTTCTACGTGCCAGACTCCAAGTTAGATTTTGGTTTACTATGTTGAAGTCTTTGAGTTCATTGCTTTATGATTGATGCCATCATAATCCTTACAGCAGTTCTATCAGCTGGGTTTTATTACTCCCAAGATGTATCCCACGTTACAGATGTAGAAACCAAGGCCCTCTCAAGTGCCCCAGAGGGTTACATATCCCATTCTACACAGCTAGTAAGATCCAAGGCCAAAATTTCAAACTTGTACCCTCCAACTCCAAAACCTTTAGTAGATTTGTGCCTTTTGTTTTCAAAATTCTGTAAAATATTTCTATAGATGAAAGACTATGAGGGAAAGTACTTGAAACACAAGACTGAGTTTCCTAGCACATAGATACTAAGTTTCTCTGCCTGTGTTGCAGCCAAGGACTGTCTTATTATGGTGCCCTGGGATCTTCCTTTGTAACAAGTAGGAGAATATGACACAGTGGACCTGGTCTAGCCTGGATCAAAGAAACCAGAGCAGGTGAACCTGAGTGTCCACACCTAATTCTGCCTCTGAGTCGCCTCTTAGGAGCTGCAAAAGATAAATAAATAAATAAACCTGGAAAACAAAGCAAAAAAATAAATCAGTGATTACCTGTAGAGTCACATCCCAGTGTGAGAGTCTCCATCATGGATAAGAAAGGATGAACCTGAGGGACCCTAATCCTCTGTGTCATTTTAGGGTTCAGTCTTAGCATTTGAAATATGACTTACATTTAAGAAACATGTGATACTCTTCTTTTCTGTCCACCCCTGGTTGGCCATACACTCTGCCTCTAAACATTCAGTGCAGTGTCAGCATGGGTGCCTGTTCTGATTTGTACATTTAAGTGACTTTATCAGGAGTGAGGCTTTATGACGTTATGTTAACTTTCGGGACAACCAAAGCTTACCCCATTAATTTCCAAACATATTTTAGCATGTGTCACCATATGTTTAAAAAAAATACTGAAAAAATTTTCTTTCTCCTTCATCAGAAGGGGAATGAAACTTAATTTGTCTCTAACAGATGATTCATTATCATTCTGTCTCATTATACTAAGATGATATTTGTAGGATGGACTCTAGTGTTCTGTAGGAGTATTATCCCTATGGCAAATATCTTCAAACCACTATAATTTTGGAATTATAACAATGCTGCCATATGCTTTTTTTTTTATTTCTCTGACTTTCCTCCCAGCTGGTCCTTTATATCAATGTAAATGTCCCCATTTGAAGAGATATGTTCACCCTGAAATATGTATTTGCTTATTAGAATTGTGTGTCAAGTTGGAGTAAATAAGCTCTAAGAGGAAATAGGGGGATTTTCTACTGCTAAGTCGGCAAATCTTGGTGTGACAACTGCCATCAGGGCATCTATTTTGTTTGTTTGAAGGTCTCTTTGGCTTCTGTGGTCAGTGCCAGCCCTTTTAAGCAGCCCACTCACTTCAAATCACTGGAGAAGAGTTGACACTTCAGAGTTACTTTGACTCTTGATGTCTGAATATAAGGGGAACTTCCCAGAAAGCAAGTAGACTTGGGCTAAGCAGGTGACTGCTGCTCACCTCTGCAGAGGATGACACTGGCTCCTCGGCAGGAGTGGCAGAAGGATTTTTGGGAACCTTGGCCTTTGCCCTCCCCCAAGACACTTAGAGAAGAAAACTCAGTCAAGCTTATGGCAATATCCAGATGCAAATGTCTTCATATTAAAATGAACCTCCCAAGATGAAAATGAAATAAAAAATTTAGGAAAGGGAATCCAGAAAATCAACCCTTAACCTTCCTGCCACAAGGCCTACATCTTTCTGAGTTCATCCCCCCTTGGTGTTAGTGAGAGCTGGTCTCCTATTGGTGATATGTATTTAAGAGGAGGACGATTGTTGCTGCCCAAATGGACCCTCTCTGGAGCTCATCACCACCTGCAGTGAAGCCAGATCATATCTCAGATGCAAAACATCACAGACTGGAACTAACTTCAGCCCTTAGAGCCTTGTCACCTTAGACTCTTGGCTTCTGTTTCCTCTTCTGTAAAATCAGAATAGCAATTCCGACATACTAAGTTGTTGCTTTTTTTTTTTTTTGCTTTTTTTTTGAGGCGGGGTTGCACCCAGCAATACTCAGGGGTTACTCCTGGCTTTGCACTCAGGAATTACTCCTGGCAGTGCTCGGGGGAACATATCAGATGCTGGGGATCAAAGCCCGGTCAGCTATGTGCAAGGCAAATGTCCTCCAAGCTGTACTATAGCTCCAACCCCAAGTTGTTGCTTTCAAGATGAAATGAGATTCAGTATGAAAGGCCATCAGGACAGTCTGTGTTGCCTTGGCTCTTATCATGAATAATATGTCTTTGAGTTCCTTGAGGTTACCAAAGAATTCACAATATCTCTTACCCAACTGCTCGTCAGAGTCACCAATGTCATTGGCAGATTGCACAGCAAAGAAAAGAAACAGACAGGGTGCACACTGAGTTGTGTTAAGGCCATAGAATTCATATTCCCTTGCCCCCACCAAAGGAAGGAAGGAAGGAAGGAAGGAAGGAAGGAAGGAAGGAAGGAAGGAGAGAGAGAAAGAGAGAGAGAGAGAAAGGAAGGAAGGAAGGAAGGAAGGAAGGAAGGAAGGAAGGAAGAAAGAAAGAAAGAAAGAAAGAAAGAAAGAAAGAAAGAAAGAGAAAGAGAGAGGGAGGGAGGGAGGGAGGGAGAAAGGAAGGAGGAAGGAGAGAAAGAAAGAAAGAAAGAAAGAAAGAGGAAGGAAGGAAGGAAGGAAGGAAGGAAGGAAGGAAGGAAGGAAGGAAGGAAGGGCGAGCAATTCAGTAACCCTTGAATGATGTGGATTTGAATTTCTCCACTAATAGGATATTTCTGCTTTCATGAATTCAACCGACCATGAATCACAGATGTTGAGGATTGACCATAGGGTCTTGAGCATCTGTAGGTTTGGGAATTCTACATCTAAAATCAACTTTCCTCATCAGATACCAAGGGACAGTTGTAGTTAATTTTGGAGGAAGTTAAAAGTTACATGCGGGTTTTCAATTAAGGGGAGTGTTTGTACTCCTCACTTCTGTATTATTCAAGGACCAACTGTACTTTTGTTTTATGCAGATTATGTTCATATTTAAAAGTAGCCCCATAGTTTAGATGCAGACTCGGGTATGTTCTGACTCTGCAGTAGCAAGGTATAAAGCATCATGTCATTGCTCCAGTCAACACAACCAGGGGCTCCCATGTAATCTCAGTTCTAAATAAATGGATCCCAGGTTGTGTGTTCATCCAATGACATGAGGCTGACATTTTCTTCTAAATCTTTGTTGTCCTCCGCCCCCTCCTGCATCCAGCCTGTCCTAGAACTTGAGCATCTTCTTTTTTTTTTTTCCCTTTATTTTATTTTATTTTATTTAAAGTTGTAGATTTACAATTTTTTGTGCTTTGGTTTCAATCATACAATGATCAGATACCCATCCCTCCACCAGTGCCCATTTTCCACCACCATGGATAATATCCCTCCCACCCCCATCCCCCCATCCCCCCTGTCTCTGTGGCAGGGCAATCCCTTGTGTTCTCTCTCTCCGTTTGGGTGTTGTGGTCTGCAAAAGAGGCATTGAGTGGCAAACATGTTCAGTCCATAGTCTACTTTCGACATGCATCTCCCCTCCTGGGAGGATCCTCCAAACACCTTTCATTTGGTGTTCCCTTCTCTATCTGAGCTGCCCTTTCCGCTAGAATGCCCGACTGGCCACTAAGCTATGGAGTAATCCTCCTGGTGCTGATCTCAGCTATTGTTGGGTATTAATCTCATATTTTGTTACTTTATATCCCCCAGATGAATGCAATCTTTCTATGTCTATCCCTCTCTTTCTGACTCACTTCGCTTAGCATGATACTTTCCATGTTGTACCACTTGTATGTAAATTTCATGACTTCATCTTTTCTAAGAGCTACATAGTACTCCATTGTGTAGATGTACCAAAGTTTCTTTAACCAGTCATCTGTTCTTGGGCATTCAGGTTTCTTCCAGTTTCTGGCTATTGTAAAGAGTGCTGCAATGAACAAACAAGTGCAGATGTCACTTCGACTATACATATTTGCCTCTCTGGGATATATTCCCAGGAGTGGTATTGCTGGGTCAAATGGGAGCTCAATTTCTAATTTTTTGAGAATCGTCCATACTGTTTTCCAGAAGGGCTGAACCAGTGGACATTCCCACCAACAGTGAAGGAGTGTCCCTTTCTCGCCACATCCATGCCAGCATCGGTTGCTTTTGTTCTTTTGAATGTGGGCCAGTCTCTGAGGTGTGAGATGGTATCTCATTGTGGTTTTGATCTGCATCTCCCTGATGATTAATGATGTAGAGCATTTTCTCATGTGCTTTTTTGCCATGCGGATTTCTTCTTTGAGAAAGTTTCTGTTCATTTCATTGCCCCATTTTTGGATGGGGTTGGATGTTTTCTTCTTGTGGAGTTTAACCAGTATTTTGTATATCCTGGATATCAACCCCTTGTCAGATGTGTATTCGGTGAATATCCTTTCCCATTCTGTAGACTGTCTTTGTATTTTGGTCTCTGTTTCTTTGGAGGTGCAGAAGCTTCTTAGTTTAAGATAGTCCCATTTATCTATCTCTGTTTTCACTTGCTCGGCCAGTGGCGTGGCATCTTTGAAGATACCATTAGCTTCAATGTCATGGAGGGTTTTGCCAACTTTATCTTCAATGTACCTTATGGTTTCTGGTCTGATGTTGAGGTCTTTAATCCATTTTGATCTTACTTTTGTACATGGTGTTAGGCAGAGTTCTGAGCCTATTTTTTTGCATGTAGCCATCCAGTGATGCCAACACAATTTATTAAAGAGGCTTTCCTTACTCCACTTCACATTACTTGCACCTTTATCAAAGATTAGATGAGCATATGATTGAGGAGAGATGTCAGTGTATTCAACCCTGTTCCATTGGTCTGCAGTTCTGCCTTTGTTCCAGTACCATGCTGTTTTAATTATAACTGCTTTGTAGTACAGTTTGAAGTTCGGGAGGTTGATTCCTCCCATTTTCTTTTTCCCAAGAATTGCTTTAGCTATTCGTGGGGGCTTATTGTTCCATATAAATTTCAAGAGTGTTTGCTCCATTTCTTTGAAGAATGTCATGGGTATCCTTATAGGGATTGCATTGAATTTATACAAGAGCATCTTCTTAATACCAGGCCCTGGCCTTCTCTCTTCACCCACTGCAGGTCCCTCTGCCCGGGTACATCGAGGCTTACCCACGCTCACGTTATCAGCAGAGCTCACCCTCCAGGCTCCATCGTCAGTACAGCCAGCCGAGCAGCATGCACCCCAGCTTGGAGCAGGGCCCAGTGCCCTCCACGGCAGCGTCCCAACAGAGCCTGACAGAGAATGACCCACCCGATACCCCCCTGACCAACATCTCCACGGCAGCCCTCGTCAAGGCCATCCGGGAAGAGGTGGCCAAGCTGGCCAAGAAACAGACAGACATGTTTGAGTTCCAGGTCTAAGGCCATAGGCCTGTATGGACTTAACATGGCAGGCTTTGAACAAGAGCCTATGGCTTTCTCCAACTGGACTTGTCGGGACTTGAGACAGAGACTTTGTGTGAGTCCCTCTCATCCCTAGTTTCTGAAAAAGGTGAACATTGAGGCTTCAGGGAAACAGAGGACTCTCTCAGATGCCTGGATTCTTGGTTTATTCAACTGATCGTGCTTCAAGAATTCCCTGCGTGGAACCATATGTCTGATATTCGCTTGTGTTAAATGTTGGAACTGTGGGTGTATTTCCCTAGGGGGCCTTAGTCACAAGAGACCTAAATTATCTGCAGATTCCTGTGTGATGCCACTTTTGAACAAATCACCAGAAGGCGGGAGAACTAGCTCTATCTTCGGTGACCTCTGCATGTTAACTGTTTCTGTTTAAAGGCAATACAGGTGTGTAATTAAGCACCAGACTCTACTCGCTCTCACTCAGCCGTGACTGTCATCCTTCAAATCACCTCGGGTCTATAAGGGAGGCACACACGCCAGCCAAGAAACTTGAGCCCTTTGCTTTGAAAGGTTCATATTCAAAGTCAAATGAATTGGATGAAAATCAGTTTGCTCCATGACTGCCCCTATAAATAGTGCTGACTCTTTAAATCCCCCAGTTACTAAACGAAGGCCAAGAAAGGAGAGAAGCTGAGAGAGAAGCTTGGCTTTGTGTTGACAACTTTCCGAAAGAGTGTTGTCATTTTGGAAATAGAGCACCCTGCAAGCTGGGATCTAACCGAAAGAGCATCAATGCTGAGAGCTTTTAGGATCCTATGAAAGAACAGTTGCTGGTGAGGATTCTTCTTTGCCCTGCAGAGAAGATATCCCGAGAATGAAGCTTTTCTCTTCAGAGGGGTGGGGTGGGTGTGGGTTAATAGATACATGAGCGTTGACAAGGGAAGCACTATCTTTTCCACAATGACATCCAGCATGCTGCTACAAAAGAAAAATGGTCACAGAGGCCTGTTCTGAATAGGAACGGTGGATCCAGTCTCCCCGGGCTGCAGCCTCTGTTTATAGGAGCTTCTGAATATAGAAAATCTGTTGGCTTACATTTCAGTGTAAATATCATTTTAAGAAGTGTACGGAGTTAGCTCGTCCCCTCTCTGCCCTGTAGTTAGGGGCACAGGAGGACTCCCACTGAAATGGCAGGGCTGCTGACCCTGTGACCAAAATGTGGCAAGCCTCCTCCTTGTTGCAGCTGCTCAGCCTCCAGAGCTTTGGTGCACACGGCCTCACTACCAGCCCTTGACGGGGGGAGCAGAGGGAGGAAAAGCTCTGGTTTCCTCACTGATATGCGCAGCGTTGGGGGCTTCCTTGGTGTCTGTTGGAGAACGAGGTTCTGTTCTGGCTTTACCCATGATCCATCTAGCTTCAGCTGTATCCATTCCCTTCTGAGTCCATCCTTCCATTCTCCTCATGAGTTTCTTTGGTCTTTACTGAGAGAAGAAGGTAGAAAGTTGAGAGAAGAGTAGGAATGGAACTTAGTAGAATGGGAGATTCAAACTGTCAAAGCACAGACTTTTCCAAGAAGCTGTTTTTATTTCCCAGTGACAAATTGCCCTTTCTGGAATGTTCCGGAGATGATGTGTCATGGAATTCCCATACAAGTCTCTTGTTCAGATGATACTAGGTAGTGTCCTTTTGGTATGCTAGTTGATCTTTCATAGTGTTAGTTTTTTGTTACTTAAAAAAAATCAGCTATAAATAAAATGTATTTTTGTAATTTCCATGTGTATATATGGTATATTTCTACCAATGGCCAGTTGTTGTAGTCCAAAATCTAAATCAGCTTGCAAAACACTGTGGACAGTGCAAGATTTTATTGACAGATTAACACAATACCTAAGTCTATCCAAATAGGTATTCAATGCACTTGAATGAACAAAGAGCCAAAGAAACTCAGCCTTTTCATGCAAATGGTATGAGTCTGATAAAGTCAGCTACATTGTCCCGCCTTATCAATAATATTAATATTTCATCAGTGCAACAATATCAACCCAGTACTTTGTCTACTTGGTAAATGCCTGGAAATGCTGTATCTAAAAAACAAAGTTTCAAGACCTTAGTGTAATTAAGATGTATGCACATGCTTCAAACACAGTGTCTGAGCTTTTGGATGGTTCAATGATTTACAGAGAATGAGCCTGTAGTTTGCTCCAGCTTAAAAAGAGTGTGGAGAAACAAATCATTGTGGTCTTTACAGGGGTTCAAGAAATACTGAGTTAGACAACTGAGATGACTAAAACTTGGTTTGTTAAATCACTTTCTTAAACTAGACACCACAGGTTTAAGAAAAAAGTATCTAAGAGGGGAAAAAAAGTAATTGATTTTCCTACCAATGAGAGAGCTGCCAGTGTTTGATTTTCTGTAACCAAAATGTGGTCAGTTCTCTGAAGAGTCTCCTGACCTCATGAAGGTGGCAGATACCTAGAGAACTGACTCTGAGAAAGGGCGGATGGTCAGAGTGCCTCGTGGAAGTGCCAGTCAATTTCCATGAGAGCCCACATGCTCTGTGTTCCTCAGGATGTGGCAGACAGTTGAAGAAGCTACAAAGGACTTTGGTGACATTGGAAAAGAAAGTGCAAGTCCAGAGAAGGAGAGTCACCTGACTGAGGGTTCCAGCCCCAGCCTGCTGATTCATGATCCAACTTGCTTTCCATTTCACCATGCTGCCTGCACGCTTGTCTATGACACATTTCCTGAACCATGCTAAGAAGTTTATAAAAGTAAACAAGGGCCATATGAGGGGACTCCTATGTGCTTGCGAAGAAACATGACTATTGAATAGGGGAAGAACTTCAGTTTAAAATGTATAGAGGACAATGCCTTTGTAGCATAATAAAAACATTTTTTTCTGAACTAATTTTGATGTGTTTTCTGCATTCATGAAAAGAAATGCATTTTGGCTTTTTTCCAGAAAGTGCCATTAAGGAAACAATGTTTTTAACTTAGGTCACCAAAAACCCTAAACAAGACTCTAGGGTTTTATTCCATCTCAGTGCCATGGTTCCAAATAGGCAAGCAAGGAGGTCATGGCAGCTGGTCACTACAAGGCAGATTCCATGCTCTGTCCTGGGCAAGATGACCCAGTGATACAGAAACATAATTATCTAGCACTGGCCCCAGAGTGATAGTATAGCAGATAGTATAGCAGGCTGTCTTGTGTACAGCCAACCTGGGTTCAATCCTCAGCACACCATATAATCCCCCAAGCCCTGCCAGGAATGATCCCCTGAGAAAAGAGGCAGGAGTAAATATAGAGAACGGCTGGGATGTGCTCCCCAAATGCACCCCCCCTCAAAAAAATATCTGGCATATGCCTTGGTACCTGTGAATCAAGATGCGAATAGTTACTTAGAGCAGAAAGTTGCCTCTTTCGAAGTGTGTTATGAACTGAATCTTCATATGTTAAATGAGTTAAACATAACACCAGCATGAAGAGATAGGACCTTGGGACATAATTAATGTGGGTGGGGCTCTCATGAATGGAGCTAGTGTTTTTATAAAGGACCTCAGGGAATTCTTTTGACTTATTGTTTACCATAAGAGGATAAAGTAAATCAATAGTGAACAATGTGCACCCCAGAATAGACCTCCCGCCAGAACCCAACCCTGCTGACATTCTGGTCTTGGTTCTTCTCCAGAGCTGTGAGGAAAATGTTTTTGAAATAAGCAACAGCAAACTGTTGTTTATATGTGACCCCATCTATGGTATTTTGATCTGGCGATTTGAATTGACTAAAGCAAGATTATATAAGAATCAGTTCTGTAGTCCTGGGGGTAGGAGGGGAAGAAACAGCTCTCTAGACCCAGGAACGGTTATTATGGGTATTTACTAATTGAATAATTTAGCATAAGGACACCTAATTTATGAGCACTCTTGATTGAAGAATAGGTAGGAAGTCATTACTTCTGTGACTTAAAAATCTTCCGAGAGTATAGATGGAGGGGGAGAGGAATTCAAATACTTAACAAAAAGTAATACTATTAGAGAAAAAGGAGAGAAAAATATATCAAAAGATTTAAATATCAATTCTAGATAATAAGGCCTTTAAAAAAACAAAGCAAGATAGTTTTTATAGAATAAAACTTGTTTAGAAAGATGTGAGATGGAGAGTATCATGCTAAGTGATATGAGTCAGAAAGAGAGGGACACAGCAATATCACTCCTGGGAATATATCCCAGAGAGGCAAAAAAGCATAGTCGAAGTGACATCTGCACTTAAGTTTGTTCATTGCAGCACTGTTTACAATAGCCAGAATCTAGAAAAAACCTGAGTGCCCAAGAACAGATGACTGGTTAAAGAAACTTTGGTAGATCTACACAATGGAATACTATTTAGCTGTTAGAAAAGATGAAGTCATGAAATTTACATACATGGAAAGTATCATGCTAAGCGAAATGAGTCAGAAAGAGAGGGACAGACATAGAAAGACTGCATTCATCTGGGAAATATAAAGTAACAAAATAGGAAACTAACGCAAGAATAGCCGAGATAAGTACCAGGAGGTTCACTCCATGGCTTGGAGGCCAGCCACACATGCTAGGGGGAAAGGCAGCTCAGACAGAGAAGGGAGCACCAAATAAAGGGTGTTGGGAGGATCCTCCCAGAATGGAAGAAGCATGCTGAAAGACTATAGACCAAACGTGATTGCCACTCAATGCCTCTTTTAAAAACCACAGCACCCAAAAGGAGAGAGAGAACAAAAGGAAATGCCCTGCCACAGAGGCAGGATGGGACGGGGGGGGGGGGGGGGGTGGAAGGGATACTGGCATCCGTGGTGATGGAAAATGGGCACTGGTGGAGGGATGGGTACTTGATCATTGTATAATTGAAACCCAAGCACAAAAATTTGTAAGTCTACAACTGTACCTCATGGTGTTTCACTAATAAAAAATTAAAAAAATAAGAGAGGGACAGACATAGAAAGATTGCACTCATTTGTGGAATATAAAGTTACAGAATAGAAGACTAACACCTAAGGATAGTAGAGATAAGTACCAGGAGGATTGCTCCATGGCTTGGAAGCCGACCTCACATGCTGGGGGAAAAGGCAGCTCAGATAGAGAAGGGACCACCCACTAAGTAAAGGGTGTTTAGAAGGCCCACTCCGGATAGGAGAAGCGTGCCAAAAGTAGACTATAGACTGAACATGATGAGCATTAAATAATTGCATTGAGACCACAACACCCTAAAGGAGAAAGAGAGAGAGAGAGAGAGAGAGAGAGAGAGAGAGAGAGAGAGAGAGAGTAGAAAGTAATGCACCTGCCACAGAGGCGGTGGGAGAGGGGGGAAACGGGGGTGGTGGTGGAAGCGACACTGGGAACATTGGTGGTAGAGAATGGGCACTGGTGGAAGGATGGGTACTCGATCATTGTATGACTGAAACGTAAGCTCCAAAGTTTTTAAGTCTGTAACTGTACCTCACAGTGATTCATTAAAAAATTAAAAAAAAAAAAAAGAAAGAAAGATGTGATTGAAAGGGCCAGAGCATAGCACATGGGGTGTTTGCCTTGCACATGAGTGACCCTGGTTGGATTCCCAGCACTGCATATGGTTCCCCCCAGCAAGGAGTGATTCCTGAGCACAGAGTCAGGAGTAAGCCCTTAGCACCATTTGTGTGGCTCCCCTCCCCATCCCAAAATAAGATGTGGGAAGAGAGAAAGAGGGAAAATAGAGACAAGCACGCTAGATTCAGGTCAAGGGAGAAGGTGAACTTGAAAAACTAGCCCAATGCAGCCTTTTCTATACAACACAGAGGCACCCAATATTTAATGAGAAAAAAATCAGATATTATTTCATATGTGTGAAAAAGAATTTAAACTTTCTTGGGGAGGGGGGCTCACACCCGGCAATGCTGAGGAGTTACTCCTGGCTCTGCACTCAGGAATTACTCCTGGCGGTGCTTGGGGAACCATATGGGATGCCGGGGATCAAACCCAGATTGGCTGTGTGCAAGGCAAACACCTTACTCACCGTACTATCCTCTGGCCCCAGAATTTCAAGTTAATCCACACATACTACCACATGCCAGCATGAGTTTGGAATTCTCCTATTTCTAAATTATCTTTCTCTATCTTAGAGAAGATAATAGTTACATGTGGCACAGTGATGGACTCGTTTCAAAGTTTTGGAAATTAAATTTTGACCATTTTATTCAACCACAAAGGTGTTCTAGTGGAGGAATTTTGCAAGGACT